TTCTAATTTATTAATTTTCTATGACAGACATGTAATACCCTCTGGATATTAGGTATAATATTGCAATGAATATAATTTTTTTTTTGGTTTTATAGATTTATTTTCAAAGGGCAAAGCAAACTATTTAAATACAAGTCCAGTGGAGTAGCTGTCAAATCCCCCATGTCCGGGCACACTCTCCTTTGCAGACACTCACTGCTGTCATCTGAGTCCTCTCTGATATTTTATTCACATACATCCTTCTTGTCTGCAATGTAATCTACAATTTCTTGTGGACACATTAACTTTTCTGCATCTATATCAGGAATTTCAAACCCAAATTCATCTTCCATGGCCATAATAATCTTCACTTGGTCCAAACTGTCTAAGCCCATGTCTTTCATAGAATGGGAATTTACCGAGAGCTTTTCTGGGTCAGTCTTGTCATAGAGTTTCAAAACGTACAGAACTCGGTTCTTGATTCCCTCTAATGTCAAAGGGGGCAGGTCACTGTACTGACCACACAACTGGGTAACACTCCCTGGAACCTGTGCGAACGGCGAGGCCGGCTGTGTCGCCCTGGCCCTCCTCCGAGTGCCCGCGGGACACAAGGCAGTGCTGAGCGGCCGGGCTAGGGCCAGCGTGGGGACCCGCGGCAGCGGCGCGAAGGCCGCGGGCAAGCGGCGGACACAGGCGGAAAGGACACGAGCCGCCATGGCTACGCCGACCCAAGATGCACTGCCTAATGAATATAATTATGTATCAATTATGTGTGCACACCTGATTATTACCCGAGAATGGAGTCCTAGTAAAGAGCTACTGGATTAAAAATCATGAGCATTTTAGGACCCTTGATAGTAATTTCAAATGACTTTCTGGGATGTCCCACAAATTCACACTTCCAGTAGAAAACTATAAAGAACCAGTCTTATCACAGGCTTGCTAGCATGAAATGGTAATGCTAAGATAGATAGATAGATAGAGAGATAGATAGATACAGATAGATTTATGGATAGACAGGTAGACAGATAATGGATAGATGGATGGATAGGTAGATAGGTAGATCGATAGATAGATTGATTTATATATAGATAGGTAGATAGATGGATAGACAGATGGATAGATGATGGATAGACGGATGGATGGATGGATACAGATAGATACATAGATGATACAGATTTTTTTTTGTGATCCTGGGGTTTGAACTCAGTTCCTTGCACTTGCTAGGTAGGCATTCTATCACTTGAACCACACCCCCAGCCCTTTTTGCTTTAGTTATTTTTCAGATAGGGTCTTGCTTTTGCCCAGGGCTGGCCTCAAACTGTGATCCTCCTATCTCTGCCTCCTGCAGAGTTGGGATGTGCCACCATGCATGACTTGTTCTTTGCGGTAAGATCTGATTAACTTTTTGCTAGGGCTGACCTCAAATTGCAATCATTCTATCTCTGTTTTCCAAGTAGCTGGAACTATAGATGTGAGCCACCACACTCAGTCAAAAACTTATTTTTAAATATACAGATACAGTTTCCTAATCATTAGTGACTTTTAAATAATTTTATTTTTTCTATGAATTATCTGCTGAAGCTCTGCTTATTTCTTGAGTGAAGCACTGTATTTTTTTCTTTTTATTGATATGTATGAATTCTACATAATTAAAAAATATTAACTCCCTGTCATTTTATTGTAAATAGTTTTTATAGTTGGTGCTTTGCTTTTAAATTTTATCAATTATTAATATAGAAAAATAATGTAGCTATAATTCAGTTTGTTAAATTTTCCTCTTTTTACTTTTTTTCTTCGCTTTTGTTGTTAGGAAGTCCTTTACCATCCTGAGATCTGCTGACTAGTAAGAATGTAACTTGGTTTACTTTTGTTTGTTTTTGGAGGTGCTAAGGTTTGAACTCAGGGCTTCCCGCTTTCTAGGCAGGTGCTCTACTGCTTGAGCCTTGTCTTCAACCTCCAGTTGTGCAATTTGGTTCTTATGCAGTAGTTAGTCAATTCTCTCTTTCTCTCAATCTCTCTGGGCTTGAACTCAGGGCCAAACGCTTGCTAGACAGGCACTTTACTGCTTGAGCCACTCCACCAGCCCAGAAATTCTCTTAACATGGCTTATGGAGCTATGCCTTCATTGCTTCTCCAATTATGTTATTTAATACCTGAGCCTACTTAAGTGCTAGCTCTATTTCTAAGTACTGTGTGAGTTATGTTCTACTTACTAGCTGCACCATTCCAGGCAAGTCTCTCTGAGCCTCAACTTACTCATCTGTAAATCAGTGACAATAAAACCTGCTTCACTGGATTATTCTGAGGATTAAATGAAATCTTATTTACAATGAGTTTATCACAGTCAGCACTCAATAAACGATAGCTATTAGCATCACCAACATCATTATTCCATGATTACTTTCTAATTCTCTCATTCTATTGAGATATTTGACTTCAGGTGCATAAGAGTTTAAACAAATCATTGTAAGAATGTGTACTAATGTAATAGAGCTTTAGCTGTGTCCCTGAAGGTTTGTTTAAATTTTCATATTCATGACTGTGATCCAAGAAATTGCTTAAATGATAAATTCTGCAATTTAATTAACTTCAATAGGTCCTACTTAAGTAGAAGTCCGTAGTCATAACAAATCATTCCTATTTTACTTTTTAGTGTCAATAAAGTGCTTAAACGCAATGCCATTTCCTCCAAATCTGATAACAAGTTGACAAAAGGTCACCTTCATCTTTTTCAGTCACTGTGAGAGAACAGAAAGATTAACAATACCATGGAACAGGAGCAAAGGGAGAGAAATGTGGGCTTGTTTTGATCCTATAGACAAAATTAAGAAGAAACTCTGCATCTGAAATTTCAAGATAAGAACTCCTATCTACCCCCAGTTATAACAGAAGATATTAGTTAAAAAATTCAATTTGTTCAACTCATTAACATGATGATATTCTATTCTATCACAGTCAAAGATGATACTGACGTACTGATAAGAGGACCACAAATATGTAAAATCAAAACAGCAGTAAGATATTATTTTTAGTTGATTCAGACTGGCCATTAATTTAACAAATTGGCAAGTCTGTAGGGAAAAGTACATTTCTGTCTCTCTGGAGGACAAATTGATGATACGTAACAAGAGTTAAAATAAGAACTCTCACACTGGGGAAGTGGCTCAGTGATAGATCCCTTGCCTAGTGTGCCTGAGGCCTCGGGTTTAATCGCCAGCACCACGAACCCCCAACACCAAGTACAAAATAAAAAAGAAACCTTCATGCAGCAAATATACTCTGAGAATATAAATAGACGAAAGTGTAAAGACACATGTGCACAAATGCCTATTATACTGTTGTTTAGAAAAGTAACCTGTTGAGATTCAGACAAACGAACCATCATTTGAGAGAGTGGGATCAGACATAATGGCCCATGACAGAACACTGGAAAAATAGTGTTTCTCCTGACAGAACACTGTGGAAAAATAGTGTCTCTCCATATTTATTCACGTGGAAGGACAGTCACATTTGGAAAAAGTTCCAAAACAGTAATATGTAGTATTGCAGTGAAAAAGTGTGCATATGGAGGGGGAGAAAGCTCTCTTAAATATTAATAACGGATACACCCTGGGGCCTGGCACTTCCTCCGGTGATTTACACTTTCTCCTTTATACTCTCTTCTCTTTCTCTATATTTACTTGTTTACTGATTGATTGATTGATTGTTTTTGCTGGGAACTCAGGGCTCTACTGCTTGAGTCACACCTCCAGTCATTTTGCTCTGGTTATTTTGGATGTGGCATCTCGAGAGCTATTTGTCATGGTTGGCCTGGAACCATGATCCTCCTGATCTCAGACTCCCAAATAGCTAGGATTACAGGCATGAGTCACTAGTACCCAGCTATTTTTCTAATTTTTGCAATAAAATTTTATTTTGATTTGGGAAAACAAAAACACTATTGCAAAAAGACTGGAGAAAATTCTCACATGTTAACATTTTAGCTCTCTTTGATTTTTAAAAAGAGAGACAAAGGGCTCCTTTCTACTTTGCTCCATTTTCCAAATTATATTTTATTGAATATAATTACATTTATTTATTTGTTAATTTGTTTATTTATTTATTTTGGTGGTACTGGGGATTATACTCAGGGTCTCACACTTGCCTGGCAAGTACTCGAGCACTTGAGCCATGCCCCCAGCAATTTTTTTCTTGAGAATTGCTTTTTTTTTTTTCTTTCCTTTTTTATAGTCTTGGAGCTTGAACTCAGGGCCTCACGCTTGCTAGGCAGGTATTCTACTACTTTAGCCACTCTTCCAGTCCAATTTTTTTTTTCTTTAGTTGTTCTTTTCAGATAGAGTCTAGAGCTTTTTGCCAGGGGCAAAAATCTGGGACTGCAATCTTCCCCTTTAGCTGGGATGACAGGCGCACCCCACTATGCCCAGTTTATTGGTTAAGATGGGTCTCTGTAACTTTTTGCCTGGGCTGGTCTCAAACCATGATCCTCCTGATCTCCACCTCCCAAGTAGCTAGAATTATAGGCTTGAGCCATGACACCCTGTCCCTTGTCTTGACTTTTGTTTGTTATATTTCCCTTCTCTACCCATTCCCTCTTTCCTACTCCTCCCACTCCCACAGAAACACAAAACAACCGCTTGATAAAAATGAACCAGCAGGGTATGAAGCATCAGGGTCTCGGGTTCCTGCACCACCTCTGCTGTGTGACCTTGGGCTAACCACTTTATTTCTCTGGTTCTCAGTTTTTCCCTATACAATGAGGTGCATTCAGTTGGATAAACATAGAGATAATTTAACCTAGCTCTTCAAACAAACAACATGATTCTGAAAATTTGAGAAAGAAAAGTTTAGAAAATGCTCCCCCTCCCCTACTTTGTTCACGGACCATCCCACTTTCATCCCAGTGCTAAAATAATGGCTACCAGCTGGTAAGTTTTATGACTGCTATCTTGGTGCTAAAACTCTCCTTGGCCCATCCATGCGTGCCACCTAGTAACCAGAATAGAAATGCAAACACTCACCGTGAATTTCTCGTAGAGCTCATAGGTCAGGAGGGGGTTAGGCAGCTCCCTAAAGTAGAGCTTGCAGAGGGAGCCCACGCAGTGGATGTCTTGGAGGTATACCTCTCTTGTCAGATCTGGACATTGATCTGAGCCAAACTCTTGCCTGAAACAACACAGACGGAGACATAACAATCCAGGGAGCTTGTGTTCCAACTCAGCAGCTTCTTGGCAGGTTGGGGGTAAAAAGACCCTACCCTGCTAATCTGCCCATATTTTTTCCCTTTTGTTTTTTGAGGCAGAGTTTTGCTACATAGTAGTATAGGCTGGATGGAGCTCTTGATCCTTGTCTCTGCTCCCAAGTGCTGGGATTAGAGGTGGGCACCACTATGCCCTGCTGATCTGACTATATCTTTGACCTTTGTTCTAACTCTAGGCACAAAGAAGTCATGCACCTCCACTTCAGGTCTGGGCTGCTCTTGCACAATTTGCTGTGATTAGAAGACATAAAAGTCATTTTCAAGTGGATTTTCCCATGGCTTTGTATCTGCCATGAACACTGGGGAAGCATGAAACCAATTTGCCAAAAGGTCTACTCAGATTTGTTTTTCCAAAACATTGCTCAAAATGAAATTCTGTCTCTTACAAGAGACCAAAACCAGGGTAGGTCAGATCATTATCACGCATCGCCATATGCTCGTGTCAGCAAACTTGTTATCTGGAGACTCAAACCCAAGACTTGAGAACTTAACCAACCATCTCTTTGATGCCTGGTGGAACCTTCTGGATGCTTGATGGGGACTCCTACAGGAAACATGAGTTCATAAATATCTTCTTAAACCATCAGTAGTGGGAAGTCTGGGAACATCCCTCCCTTCCTTCCTTCCTACTTTTCACTCCCTTCCCTCCCTCCCTCCTTCCCTCCCTCCCTCCCTCTCTCTCTCTCTCTCTCTCTCTCTCTCTAGATAGGATGTTGCTACATAGCCCATGCTGGTGTCAAGCTCATGATCCTCCTGCCTCAGCCTTCTGAATGCTGGGATTAGAGGAGTGCACCGCTATAGCTGGTTCAGTCTGGATTCTAACTAGGAAACATTTCAATATACTGCCTCCAATCCCAGGCATCTGCCATGTTACGAGTTAAACATTTGTTTAAAATGACACATTTGAGCTTTACTATAGAAGCCAGGCTTCTGGAGAGCATTCCTTGGTTAGTATGGTGGTGTGAGGTCACAGGGACTCTGACAGCTAGCATTTTGAAGACTGCACATTGCTTTGTCTCTATTCTGATTCTGCCTATTCAGCACTGGAGTTTGAACTCAGGGCCTCACGCTTGCGAAGCAGGTGCTCTACTGCTTGAGCCATTCCACTCTTGGTTCTTCCTCGTTAAAGGGTGGGAGCTGGACACGGTGGTACATGCCTGGAATCCCAGCTAACTGGAAAGCAGAGGCAGGAGGATTGAGAGTTTGAGACCAGCTGGGGCAAAAAAGTTGGGAGCCCCTGTCTCAAAAACAAAATACAGACAAAAGGGCTGGGGGTGTGGCTCAAGTTGTAGAGTACTTGCTTAGCAAGCTTGAGAAGCTGGCTCCTGGCTTCAAGCTCTAGAACTAATAAATAAATAAATTAAATAAAATTGGGCTCTCTCTGATGCTGTCCCAACCTGAAGGCAACTGATGGGGTCTTAAAAAGATAACTATGTTGTGGTCTCAAGCGTGCACAGGTATGTGATTTTCTAAGAGAGCAGAAGGAGAACAACCTAAATTTACTTTAGTCCAAAATTTCCCTTGTTAAAGCTGAGGCCAGTCATTAAATAAAAAAGAATTTGCCACCACCCAACCGTCTCTCTAGTGCATTTCAGAGCTCCTAGCAAACCATCAACAAATATTTGCTGTTAGAGGATGTGGATATAGCTCAGTGGTACAGCACTTGCCCAGCATGTTTGAGGCTGCTTTGATCCCCAGGATGAAAAAAAAAAAAAAAGAAAAGAAAAGACTAGGACAGTAGCTTGCATCCGTAATCCCAGCTACACGGAAGGTGGAGATCAGGAAGATTAAGGTTAAAGGCCAGTCATGGAAAAAAGTTGGTGAGATCCCATCTCAACAAATAAGTCAGGCATGATGGCTCATGCCTGTTGTTTCAGTTATGCTGGAGGCAGTAGATAGAAGGATCATGGTCTGAGACCAATCCTGGGCAAAAACAAGAGACCCCACCTGAAAAACAACTAAAGCAAAAAAAGGCTGTTGGGGGGGGTGCGTGGCTCAAGCAGTAAAGTGCCTGTCTAGCAAGCTCAAGGCCCTGAGTTCAAACTCCAATACTATCGAGAAAAAAAAAAAAAAGCTTTTGCTGTTAGTAAAACTCTAAAAAGTCACATTCATAAGTTAGTGCAATTATGTAGAGATATATATATATTCATTACAAGCTATGCCCCCGGTGTAGCGCACTTGTGCAGCACTTGCCTACCATGCACAAGTCCCTCAGTTCCAATCCAAGCACCACAAAGAAAAATAAGTAGATAAATAAATAAATGAACAATCTACGGTTGCAACAAACCAATTACTTTTCTTAAAGCCACTGCTTCCCTAGAAGTAAAAAGGATGCTTTATTCCTTTGGTATAATTTAATTGCAAGTAAGATTTGTGGGGGGAGGGGTAGAAACCAAACAGGAGGAAGATGCCAGACTAAATTACCTGCATAATAAATTAAATCTTACATATTAACCTTGTAATAAGAATGTTCTTATTATTTTAAAAGTTTGTTTATAACCAAAGAACATATAATAAATATGTAAAAATCAATACTCATGATGATCTTTTTGGTGTTAAAAATAACATGCAAAATAAATAAACCTATTGCTTTAGTCATAGAAAGTATATATCTTATATATGTATATATTTTATATACGCTCAGCATGTGTACTGTATATACTCTCCACACGTATCTGTGGTTTGTGTCAAAGTCTTTGCCCACTTAATATGATAGAAATTTAGAATAAGTCAGTAGAATAGGAACTGTTCATCCATTAGTAATTTTCAAAATAGCAGTATCAATTAGGGAAATGTGCAATGATGCAGACTTCTGATGAAACATGAAATGTCTGCCAGCAGAAAACCTCAAACAGCCTCGGAGTTAAGTACTGTGTAAGGGGACCTAATCTAGCTGAGCTTAGGGCAGGTGAGGGAATGATAATGTGTTCCATTTTCTAACTTGTAACTTAGATCATCTGAATTAAATCAAATCCACCCTAAGAAGGATGAGCCATACCCAAGACAAATAAACAGATTGAAAGCGTCCAGGAGCGTTTGTTGGAAAGAATTACATCAGGCCAGGGAGTCTCCTGATTGGATTAGAATCAGTCGGGTGTCTGAAAAGAGCCATATCTGATCTAAGCTCCAACCCTTCCCTCCATCCCTTCAGGGTTTTGGTACCCAACACGTGCAGACAGAGGCAGGGACACAGGAAGGCTGATGGGAGAAGGTCTCTGGGCTAGTCTCCTGGCTCACCTTAGCCGCTGTATGTTTGAGGTGACCCCTGAGAGCCGGTAGATCCCGTCCACAATGCCATGGGTCTCTATGAACTCTGCACAGCTCTTCAAGACATATGGAACTGTGAATAGGAAAAGAGAAACAGTAATATGTCAGATGTAAGTGGGACTGTCTTTTAAAGCTATGCCTTTAAAAATCCAGATCGCTTCAAAGAGAAACAGGTATGGTGCTCACAAGAATTACAAGTGGAAGCAATTATAAGCGGTAGGTGGTTTTCCTTTTGTATTTTTTAAAGTTACAGTATTTAGTCAGGTATGGTAGCACAGCTGTAATCCCAGTTACTCAGAGGTTAGAGGGAAGAGAATCAAGGCCCACCCAGGCAAAGTTAGTGTTTTAAGATCCTGTCTGAAAAACAAGCCAAAGCAAAAGGACTGGTGTGACATGCTCATCTAAATCCCCAATACAACCCCACAAAGTTTTGATAAAGTTTTAAAAACTTACATGTTTTAAGAGTTTTTTTCTTTTTTTTGCAGTACTGGGGTTTGAACTCAGGGCCAACACCTTGAGCCACTCCACCAGTCCTATTTTTGTGAAGGGTTTTTCAAGATAGGGTCTCACAGATCTATTTGCCCGGGCTGGCTTCAAACCCCTATCCTCCTGATCTCTGCCTCCTGAGTAGCTAGGATTGCAGGCGTGAAGCACCAGTGCCTGGTTTTTAAAAAAAATTTTTTAAGAACTTGAAAAATAAGCAAAAACTCAGACTTTTGAGAGCAGCAGTGACCTTGGAAGTCCCAGAGCTCAGTCAGTCTCCTCATCACACCTGTTCTCCAGGTATGGTTTCCTGACCACCGACATCTTAGTAGACATGCAAATTCTCAGCCCCACCCCAGACCTAGACCCAAGTTCTGGGGATGGAGCCCACTGTGTTTAAGCACACAGAGTTCTAAAACACCTGCTAAAGTTGGACAGCTGCTACCTTACCTTCCTTAGTCTACACATGAAGAATCCGAGGCATAGGCAGTTTTTTTTGAGGTACTAGATTTAGAGTTTGAACTCAGGACCTCACACTCACACCCCCAGCCCTTTTTGCTTTTAGTTTATTTTTCAGTTAATCTCTCACTTTTGCCCAGGGTGAAGCCTCAGACCATGCTCTTCCTACCTCTGCCTCCTGAGTAGCTGGGACTACAGGCATGCCCCATCACACCCAACCCTAAGCACAGGTAAATTTACTTAACTCATTAACCATTACTTATTGCTTATGAAAAGTAATCAATGGGAAGAAAATGCTTATAAGTAGGTAAAAGAAAGACACAAATTTGAATATACACCGTAAATTCAGTTATGTTACAAAAAAAAAACTACCAATGAAAAAAGACTGAAAGAAAATGTGCCGGGATGTTAAGCACAATTTAAAGGTTAAAGTGTCGAACTGTCCTTTTAAGGTGAGAGTCCCTAACTCTTCCCTGCAGTCACTGACCACATGCAAGGGGCTGACATGGCCTCTTGAATTCAGAGCGCCGGTGGAAGTCTGGCTGTGTTGTTTTTTCCTTGGGCTGACGTTGAGAGGCTCAGCCACTCAGTGACTTAGAATGGCAGATGCAGGCCTGCTGGATGCATGGAGAGGGCAACTAATCACTGCCACTTGGGTCCCTGCGAAGGTCCTCCTGGAGCCCCCCCGTGAGAGTGCAGCAAATGGTGGTTTTCACGAAACAGTCCAATTTCTCAGACCGACGTCTTCGGGAGCTCCCAGAGGCCTAGAGGTGGTAAGGTCCTCCGTGAACTGAGGCTCAGGGTGGCACTGCCAGTGTTCCCAGCACACACCCATCCATTGTTTTCTTAGAGTAACTAATGTCAATTCATCAGTGCAATTGTACCTGCTTGCGCCTACACACAATTCCAAACTGGGCTGGACCTTCACAGGGTAGACACCATGTTCAGATTCAACATTCTCCCCTCTTATTCTTCTTCTTTCCTGGGGATCTAACCCACGGCCTCTTAACGTGCAAGAAAAAGTGCTCTACCACTGAGTCACAGCCTTGACCTCTACCTATTCTCTATTACGATACCTTCCAATCACCCTCTCCCCTTGCTGCCTTCAAGCAACTGTAATACAGCACTCAACAAAACCGAGCAGACTTCAAAGAATTCTGCCCATCCCTCAAAAGCTGTGTAAGCCAAGAGCCTGTCTGCCCAGAACACATCCACACGAGTTTGTCCCATCCTCCAGGACTGTTGCTGGGAGAATCTTCCCAGTTAACCCAGGCTAGGGAAAGGAGCAAGGATTGGAAATATTGAGACCAGAGGCCAAAGAGATGGAAGTACTTCCTGTGAGTGAGTACACATGGGAGCCAGGTGGAGGAGTGGGCAGGAATTCAGATCTTCTGCCTACCTTGATTGGATCTATTTTGTAAAAGAGGGTTCTTGGTAAGACTGTATCTTCTCCCTCATACAGATAGATAGATAGGGCTCCCATGCTTCATAGGATACAACACACACACACACACACATCTTGAAATTCCTGCTATGTACAATGATGGTCAACTCTCTCCCTACTGTACAAAGCTCTTCTGTAACCAGCCATGTGTGGGCTATGGTTGAGAGTACAAGTTCGGTTGCCAAACTGAACTTGGGCAAAATACATAATGATTGTGTTTGCTAGTTTCCACAACTGTAATATGAAGATAATAGTGGTGTTAACCTCCTAGCTAACACTGAAATCATACTTGTAAACATTCAGCACAGACTCTGGCATATAAAAAGCATTCCAGGATGACGGCTATTATTTTTACTTGCAGCTTATCCAGGTTGTGAGTTTATAACTTGGTTAGCGTACCTTCTTCCATTGAGTGGGTTCTTACCAGTCAAAACTCATCTCTGCTCTTTGGCCACTGTGTTCTTTTTCAGTAAGTGTTTCTATTTGGGAGTAACCAGGTCTCTGATCTGTGCATTTAGGTGTTTCTTTGTAGCACAAAGGCACTGTTTGTTTTAAAGGTGGGGAAAACACATTCCATTTACTCTGGCTTCAGTACAGAGGCCCTAGAAGCTCTTGTCCACCGCTCTGTTGAAGCAGGTGGCGTATTAAAACACCCATGGCAAGAGGCCACCGTCCAGCCCCTGTGAACTGTCCCTTTCCTGGGTTCTCATCCTGGGTGGAGTCGGAAGGGGTAAGGATTCTCCATCACACTCTGTCGTGGGAAAGGATTCGCTTCCTCTCTGCGCAGCCATTTGGAGCAGTGGGCATCCCACACAATGAGGTTCCCTGACGCACTCAGAAGTTGAAGAACCTCTTCTCCAGATCCAAGCTTCTCACACTTTGCTTGTGGATTTTGTTAACATGCAAATTCTACTTCAGTAGGGAAGTGGGTGGAGGCAGGTGGAGAACTTGCACGTCTAACAAGCTCCCAGGTGATGTGGTATGGCTGCAGTGGCCCACGCCCAGGGCAGCAGGAGTCTAAAGATAGCAGTGGGCGATGATGTTGCAGAGGCTCCAAAGAGTTTAGTCTTAGACTCAGAATTCTTGAGACTCTTGTTCCTGGGGTCCAAGCAGACTGAGGACACCCTGGAATTCTGGACAGGGTCTGACACAAAAGAGCTGAGTAGATAGAATGGAAAGAAAGCTTCCATGGGAAATTTAGGCATGGAAAGGAGTAACACTGGAGGTCAGAGTCACAGAGCTGGCCCAAGGGACTTTCAGTCTTCTTCTAGAGGGGTTCTCACAGCTGCTGATTATGATAGGATGATATAACTTAATTGTTTTCACTGATGGTTCTCTAATGTCACCTTAGTTTTTAGACTGGTGATCTCAAAGATAATTTGTTCGTTTGTTTTGTTTTGGCAGCACTGGGGTTTGAATTCAGAGCCTCACACTTGCTAGGCAGGTGCTTGTTCCACTTGAGCCATTTGCCAGCCCTTTTTTTGTGATGGGTTTGTTTTTTGAGATAGAGTCTCTTGAACTATTTGACTGATTTGGAATGGCAATCCTTCTGATCTCTGCCTCCAAAGCAACTAGGATTACAGGTGTGAGCCACCTGTACCTGCTTCAAAGTTAAATTTTAATCTAAGCACAAAATACATCTCTAGGTGGTTTCTGATGAAAAGAAAATCTTACTTTCAATTTAGGCTTTACAATTTATGAAGCATTATAAAATCCCTTGTCTCAATTGCTCTAACCCAGTACAGGTGAAAGACACTTTGTACTGATAAATTATGTGGGCAGCTCTCTTCCATTCCTGACTTCTTTAAGAACTTAGTTCAGAAAAAGGCAGCTGTCAAATTATTTCTCTGAGTCATCACCCCCCCAACACACATCGTAGGTCTCTGTGTGGCTGGACCTGATCGGTTTGGAAAACAGACTGGAACAACCCAGTTTTATTTGGTCATGCGTGCAGCAATGAAGGCCACATTCTTTCGTAGTGCATTAAATTGTATCCTGCTTTGGGGAAATAGACACTCCCCAGCCCCACTCTGGAGCTGGTTCAGGTCTTGTATTAGTCAGATATCACCCCTCTCTGGGTCCTGCATCCCTGACTTTCAAAGTGAAGTCTACTAGTGCATTCACACACAGGATACTACTCAGCCATCACAAGGAGTGATATATGCACAGGAGGGCATCCCAAAGACATTAGGCTGGGTGATAGAAGCCAGTCCAAAAAAGAGTCCATACCGTATGATTCCATTTATACAACTCTGGGAAATGAAAAGGAATGGACAGAGAAAGCAGGGAAGAAGCAGGAGATAGGGTTGACAGAGGGGATGGAGGAGACTTTTAGACTGACGGGTACATTCGTTATTTTATTTGAGTAAAACAAAGGACCAAGAGCCACTGGTGGGTAAAGAATAATGGTATCTGAGGGGAGATAGAGGGGAGAGTGAGGGACAAGACTGCACAGAGAAGAAATCCACATGGGAGAGAAGGGAGACATCTTAGTGCCTCTCTTTGGCATTTTTGTCTCTGGCATTTTCCCAAGAGATGTAGAAAAGACTTAAAGACCCGCTCCATTATTCTAGGTTGTCAATTTAGAACCTCCTACGTGTTTCCCCTGGATGTCAGAGCTGTCTCGTGGCACCCATGGCTTCTGTCTCTCTGCTAGCTTCCACTCTTGATGCCTGTCCTGTCTGTCT